GTTCAGTCTTGTGTTAAGATTAACGGTAATTTTATTGATTGGTTTAACGTAAAATGTGGCTTAAAATAAGGGTGTATATTATCCCCATTATTGTTCTCAATTCTTATTAATGATCTAATTGAGGATATTAAAAGGTTAAATATTGGTATTAATATTGATAATGATAAAGTTTGTATATTATTGTCTGCAGATGGTGTTGTTTTTTAAACTGAAAATGAAAATGATTTACAAAAACTGTTAGATACACTCAATACATGGTGCAATAAAAATGATATGCCAGTTAATTCAGATAAGTCAAACATTGTACATTTTAGAACACAATCTGTGCCTAGAACTACTTTTCCATTTTTATTTAATGGTAACAAAATAGATACTGTATCTCAATATAATTATCTTGGTTTACTTTTTACTGAATTTTTGAGATATGATGATATGGCAAAAGCGGTGGCAAAATCCGCTAGTAGATCATTAGGGTTGTTAATATCCAAGTGTAAAGCAAATGGAGGTTTTCAGTACTCTACATTTATAAAACTTTTTGATTCACTAGTTTGGTCTGTAATTGAATATGGTGCTGCCATATGGGGTACGAAGGATTTATCATGTATTAATAGTTTGAAGAATAGATCCATGCGCTTTTTATGGGTGTCGGTAAATATACACCTAATCTGTCATTATATGGTGATATGGGATGGATGCTTTGTAGTATTAAACAATAGTCTTGTGTATTTAGAAACTGGTCACGATTAAAAATGTGTGATGAGAGGTTAAATAACAAAGTTTTTTTATGGAGTAATTCCTATCGAAAGGGTAAAATAAAAAATTGGCAATTTAGAGTAAATGCCAAATTTATAAGTCTTGGTATGAATTATTTATGCAATACTAATTATATTTTAAGTAAGAGTGATATAAAAGATATCGAAAATGTATTATTTGAAAATTTTAAGCAGGATTGGTTAAGAAAATTGATGTCTTATGATACAATTACATTACGAACTTACAGAGAATTTAAATGTATATATGGTGTTGAGAATTATTTGATTAAAAATATGCCTGGTAAATACATGAGTGATATGTCTAAATTTCGGTGTGGCGTCGCACCTATTCGAATAGAAACGGGGAGATATGAGAATATTTGTTTAGAGAAAAGGTTGTGCTTTAATTGTAATGCAATTGAAAATGAAAAACGTGTGTTATTGCAATGTCCAATATATGCAGATTTACGTGATAGACTTTTTAATCGCGCTAGTCACTTTGACGATAGTTTTATGAATATGTTTGATCATGGAAGTAAAATGAATATAATAAAGTCAATATAATACTTCCATGTTTTGATGATGAAAAACTTATATTTATGTTTAATAATGATGATATGCAATTTTACACTGCCAAAATCTGCCACGATATATTATTAAAAAGAAAAAGTGTTTTATATGTTTAATGCTTGTATATACATTTCTTTTATGTTAAAATGTTTTAATCATTTTCTCATTACTCCTTTTAGAATGGATTATGTATAAGCTGTTGTTTACCTTTTATATATGTCTATATAACAAACAGGTTTAATGCTTGTATATACATTTCTTTAATGTATATGTGTTTTTAAGGGAGAGATCCGTTTGCGCCAAAAATGCGTCCTTTTGCGCCACAACTTTTTTCTCCAATGCTACGTTTGCGCCACTTGTTTTAAAATTACATGGTATCATTTGCGCCAAAAATAAAACATACGTTTGCGCTAATTAGAAGAAAAATGACTTCCCTCCTCCTTTATTCGGACTTAAACCGGCAGTTTACACGGCACATGTTTCCTTCCTGAAACATACTTTCTTCTTACTGCTGCTGCATGGGTACGTCCCAATTTAATGTATGTAGTAGCTTGTAACTTCATTTTATTGTCCAAAATGACAAACATTGAAGGATGAAACAGGGAACAAAGCACTGTGTCATCAACATATGTGGCTAAAACATAATCAGCAAAAGCTTCTATTTTCTTCTCTTTTGGCATATCTTGTATTAAATATTCAGCAAATCAATAAGTTTGCTTCTCTCTCTGTAAATGGACTGTCTAATGCATTTTAAGTCATTTCTCTCCAGATGCTCATCTTCATGGTGAGATATCTCCGAACATATGATACTTTTTAAGCCAAAAATGAGAATAAATATGTATTAATCATTGATATTTATGATAGATATGTGTACAGGTAAATTGGCGCAAATGAGTTCCGAACATTGGCGCAATTGATACATTTGGAAAACAAAATTTGGCGCAAATGATACCCCTGGAAAATAGTAATTGGCGCAAAAAGGACTGCTGCCGTTTTTAATCAGTCTCTCATAACTCTTTTTAGAGTGGCTTATGAATACGCTGTTGTTTACCTTTTATATATGTCTATGTTTTATATGTATGTACATAAGGTGAGACTTTAATAAAGTATTTGTCTTGTCTTGATTATTCATTAAACAGGGTCTAATTATCAATGGAAATTGGACTTTAAACTAGCTTACAGTTAAAGGGAGTACTCTTAGATTGGTACTTAGTGCCTTTTGTTATTTTGTTAGTTTTTGTGCTTAGTACCAATATGACTAAAGCCGTTACATCTGCTTTTAACAATCAGTTCGTTTTTATGTTGTGTTGTTACACCACTGTTCCAGGTTAGGGAAGGGGTGAGGGCTCACAAACTTGTCTATGAATTATCCCCTCTACATTCTTTTGGTGCCTGTTCTACTGAAGCCAGGAGCCTGTAGTCTAGGAATTCTAGATACCGTTCGGCACCCGAGAAAGACACTTTGGCACCAAGACAAATCGGCACCTCATAAAGATTAAATCAACCTTGTGTTATTAGCTTTCAGACCTTATTAAATCCTTGTTCAAAATATGTTGAATACACAATTAAAATTACATGGGACTGATGTAGGTTTGTATGCATGACCTCAATTTGCAAGTTTAGTGTAAATATAGCAAATATTTTCTACTGTTTTTACAATTACCTATTGAATTTTTAAAGTTCTACGACATTATTGTATATGGTATCTTAGATGAAGTATCTTATGAAGTGGTTTATTCTTTTTGATGTTTATTGGTGAAGACTGTATTGCAGCTTAGTCGTTTGGGTTGCTGTCTCATTTGTGTGTATTCTTCATGCATGGATATTGATTTCAAGGAGATTATAGACTTCATCATGCATATACTAGTATGTAATGCACAGTTTTATTCCGATGGTTTTCAAGTATTTAATTAATAAAACACATGATGCATTTTATGCGTATGGCTTGTAATGTTAAAACAATAAAATATAGTTTTCATGTATTTTGTTGTCTTTAGAGATGTAAGGATCAAACGATAACCCAAGCTACAAACACAAAGTGTACACTTTTGATCTTCATTGAGAAATTATCAAAACCCATTATAAACTTAAGGGCGACCTACATTTGCGAGAATTTGAATATGACAAGCATTACGTTAGGCGAATTTACCTGCAATTTACTTGAGTTTTTACCTTGGATTTAATCCTGAGAATAACCTGAATTTTACGTTTTTGTTTTAGGAAAATTAGTTATCTCGTTGGTTGTTGTTTATCATATTTGTTTTTCGTTTATTGTTTTGAACATAAATTGGCAATCATACTACATCTTCTTATTTCTTATATTAATAAATATATATATGAAAGAAGTCTTTATTTGTTTATATAAAAATTAAAAAACCCTACATTTACGTAAAAGAAAAGTTTTGAATAAAATACAGTGAATATCCTGGAAAGGAACATTCAAAGTATACAGTCATGAATAAAACACAGTATACATGTATATGATATCTACAAGAACCTCCATAAATCAGTCTTTGTCTGGTACATGTACTCTAGCCATTTCAGATAACGTTGGCGGGAAATTCCCCAGTTTGAAACTTCAAAAATTGTTGAACAGTAAACTGAATTTTGTCTTTGTCTTTGCGCTTTACAAGAGCTTGGTTATCGCTACCGCGAATTCTTATGTAAGTAGTAGCCTGAACTTGCTGTATAATCTCAATGGAGGTGTAGATGCTGGATGAGTAGAGCAAACCTGTTCAATGTAATGGTTTTGAAAATACTCTTGCCCATTGTTGGTATGTTTTGTGGCTAAAACAAATTTTTAAAATAATTAAAAGTAAATTTATTTAATTTCGGCAATCATAGTTTGTTTATAAAAAAGTCAAGGATTTCTTTTTATATATTATTTTAATTAATCTGCGCAAACATAGTGGATTTTCAACAGGTAAATTTCAAGCAAATGTGGATTTTTTTTCACGCAAACGTAGGACAAATTCGCACAAACGTAACGCACCGAAACTTACATAAAATATTGATTAATGCAAAACTACAATTAATCATGATTATCAAATTTATTTTGCATATTTTATTTAAGGATTTTGATATTACTGTAAAAATTCTGGAAATTCAGGAAAATATGGAGAAAAAATGTGGTGCCGAATTTTCTTGGTCCCGAAATGTCTTGATGCCCCGAAACTGTGCCGAAATGTCTTCGGACCTGGGTGCCGAAGTCCTGTACTTGTTGATAGTTCAATAATTGTTTTTCTTTTATGTTTTCTGTTTTTTTGGTACAATTTCATTTTGTATTTTTGAGAATTTTGTGTTGATAATAGTTCTTTGATATGTTTTTTAAACTCATTCACTGCTTTTTTTGGACTTAGGTCTATGTAGAGCTTGACCAATTGTAATACTGTCTATTGTTGAGGACCCTATGTTGACCTCTGGTGGTCTTTTTGTTTATTGTGTCATTGATTAGCTGTCTCATTTATGTTTAACTCACATTTTTTCTCTCATATTTTTGGTGAAATGTCTATTATGTTTAACATGTTGGCTCGCTGCTCTATTGATGTTTACCCCAACATTGTCTTTTAATATTCAAACCATTTCATTTTTTACCCTTCCCGATACTGTTTTATATTTCATAGAGACATGAATCCCTGGCCACCCTTGTTTCTACATCTTAATCAATAAAAAAATAGATAAGCTACACATTTATTAAAGTATCACAAACTTAACAAATATCACAACAGTTAAATAAATATTATGACAAGTTCTGGTCACATGACTCACAATTGTTGTTGACATAAATTAACATTAAACACCAACTTCGAACCTATAACCTGATTTATTTATCAATAAAGCATGTTTTCTTGTCTGAGGATGATCTCTAGATGTATTTTGAATTTTTGTGTCTCATTGACCTTTAACCTATGTGACAATAACTTTTAATTATATGGCTGTTCAAAGGATAAATTGACTCATATTTCAATAAGATAGACAAATGAACAACAATATACCATACTTAATTTCATAATCAACATGTACATAAAACTTGTGTGGACCTTTGGTAAGTTATTCATCAGTTATCATGCCAAGGACTACTTGTAATCAATCCTGTTACCTGTTTTAATGCATCTGTAATTTTAATAATATAAAAAGCTACTTAAATATTTTGACAAAGTATTGAAAGCTGATATATGTAATATAAAAGCTGCACCATTACTTTTAAACTTTATATTTCTAGATGCACATATTTTTGCATTTTAATAAGAAAACAAAAATTCAGCACAAAAATGCTTTAAAATAATTTTCACAAATTGTTTTTTCACGTTGAACACAAACTTCTAGTGCTCAATAAATTTTGCTCATAAAGATTAAATCAATATTATCATTATCAATGAAAGCTGATTATATTGAGTATCTTGATTGAAAAAGTTCTGGGTATTTTGCTCCATTAAATTCATCTTAGTTTCTTCTTCAATTTTTTCTTCTTCAGGTCTCTCTCTAAAAATCACCTATTTGACAACCTTTTCAGAAACTCCCTAGTTTAATATGTCTGACAAGTTTTAAATATCTGCCCGGATTTTTCATTTTTATCGTATCGTATCGTATATATTCATATTTCAGTTTTTTGTACTACGCTCATAAATTACTTCTGTCTTCACCTTTGAACAACAGCAATAGAAGGATTTACATTTCACCATGATTCAGTACTTTTCGTTTGCTTAATACTTCACATTTTACCATGATTCAATGCTTATTTCATGCTAAATGCTTCACATTTCAGCCATTTTACATTCAGATCACACGACTGGATCTAACATTCACATTTTGATCACATGACCTGCTTCACATATTAGACTCTCTATGATCTTCAATATCCCCTACTACTCCACTCTCACAACTCTCTATACATGAGTTACTACGATACATAGACTTAGTATTACTGCCCTCGTTCACTTTCCAGCAGTCATTAGTGTTAGACACAAGATAAATCATGGCTTTTGGAAGTTGGCCTTTCTTGATCAGATAGAAAATCACAATACGGATGAGCATGTGACATATAAGCATGAGACAGGCATACACAAATAATATGTAACATGTGTTTAACAAAATCTGTCTTAATGTACTAACAAGGGGAACTAACTCTGAATGTAAATAATGCACAAATAATCCTTCATCCATTTCTGAAAAATAAATGTATAAATACATTAATAAAATAAGGTTTTTTGCAGTATACATAATGTAAGCACTTGTCCTTTGTTGAGAAGCATATGGTAACATTAATCTCTTTAGTTGAAATCAAACTATGTTTGTGGTGTGCCTTGTTTTAAGTTACTTAAGGCAATAAACAATTATATGCCTTGCTTCCAACCCAAAAACATTTTTTTTGGTCAAAAATTATAAAAGAAATCCTGTTTTCTCTGGTTGTAGAACCTATGCATTCTTTATCCTCTGACTTATTTAGTCATTTGTGATAAAATTGAATGAAGTCATGGAGAAAAGATGTCATAACGTTGGAAATTAGAAATTTTGTCATGAGTGTATGAATTATTAGATGTGTAGTGTAATATATCATCTGACTTGGAGGAAATATGTGATTTTTCTGAATCATGTCAAAAGGGAAAAATTGAACAAAATTTTGACCTTTTTTTTGAGACAGTGATAGGAAACCAACAAACTTTAACTCAAACATTGCAATTGCATCCCAGATTCAAGGAAAGGTAACATTGTTACCTTGTAATGTTCTCCTCTACTATAAAACTAACCTTTAAATGGTGATGATGTAATGTTCCCTTCTTCTATAAGACTAACCTTTAAATGGTGATGATGTAATGTTTCTACTATAAAACTAACCTTTAAATGGTGATGATGTAATGTTCGCCTCTACTATAAAACTAACCTTTATATGGTGTTGATGTAATGTTCTCCTCTACTATAAAACTAACCTTTAAATGATGATGATGTAATGTTCCCTTCTACTATAAAACTAACCTTTAAATGATGATGATGTAATGTTCCCTTCTACTATAAAATTAACCTTTAAATGGTGATGATGTAATGTTCGCCTCTACTATAAAACTAACCTTTAAATGGTGATGATGTAATGTTTGCCTCAACTATAAAACTAACCTTTAAATGGTGATGATGTAATGTTCTCCTCTACTATAAAAATAACCTTTAAATGGTGATGATGTAATGTTCCCTTCTACTATAAAACTAACCTTTAAATGATGATGATGTAATGTTCCCTTCTTCTATAAAATTAACCTTTAAATGGTGATGATGTAATGTTCGCCTCTACTATAAAACTAACCTTTAAATGGTGATGATGTAATGTTCGCCTCTACTATAAAACTAACCTTTAAATGGTGATGATGTAATGTTCGCCTCTACTATAAAACTAACCTTTAAATGGTGATGATGTAATGTTCGCCTCTACTATAAAACTAATCTTTAAATGGTGATGATGTAATGTTCGCCTCTACTATAAAACTAACCTTTAAATGGTGATGATGTAATGTTCGCCTCTACTATAAAACTAACCTTTAAATGGTGATGATGTAATGTTCGCCTCTACTATAAAACTAACCTTTAAATGGTGATGATGTAATGTTCGCCTCTACTATAAAATTAACCTTTAAATGGTGATGATGTAATGTTTGCCTCTACTATAAAATTAACCTTCAAATGGTGATGATGTAATGTTCGCCTCTACTATAAAATTAACCTTTAAATGGTGATGATGTAATGTTCGCCTCTACTATAAAACTAACCTTTAAATGGTGATGATGTAATGTTCGCCTCTACTATAAAACTAACCTTTAAATGATGATGATGTAATGTTCCCCTCTACTATAAAATTAACCTTTAAATGGTGATAATGTAATGTTCGCCTCTACTATAAAACTAACCTTTAAATGGTGATGATGTAATGTTCCCTTCTACTATAAAACTAACCTTTAAATGGTGATGATGTAATGTTCTCCTCTACTATAAAACTAACCTTTAAATGGTGATGATGTAATGTTCCCTTCTACTATAAAACTAACCTTTAAATGGTGATGATGTAATGTTCTCCTCTACTATAAAACTAACCTTTAAATGGTGATGATGTAATGTTCTCCTGTACTATAAAACTAACCTTTAAATGGTGATGTACAGAATGTTCCCCTCTTTAAAATAACCTTCAAATGATGATGATGTAATGTTCCCTTCTACTATAAAACTAACCTTTAAATGATGATGATGTAATGTTCCCTTCTACTATAAAATTAACCTTTAAATGGTGATGATGTAATGTTCCTTTCTACTATAAAATTAACCTTTAAATGGTGATGATGTAATGTTCACCTCTACTATAAGACTAACCTTTAAATGGTGATGATGTAATGTTCTCCTCTACTATAAAACTAACCTGTATATGGTGTTGATGTAATGTTCCCCTCTACTATAAAACTAACCTTTAAATGGTGATGATGTAATGTTCTCCTCTACTATAAAACTAACCTTTAAATGGTGATGATGTAATGTTCCCTTCTACTATAAAATTAACCTTTAAATGATGATGATGTAATGTTCCCTTCTACTATAAAACTAACCTTTAAATGGTGATGATGTAACTGGTAAAAAATTACAAGATGTTATCAGCTCTTGGACCCTCAGTAATGATGGACTACAAATATCTGTATGAGTCATGGAACAGAGGTCTGATAGTATCAGTTGTAATACTTCATTCTACAAAAGTTTATTCCAGTTTATAAAAATTCCATAAAATAACGATGTTTATATTTGGTTATATTTATATTACTGTTGAATCATTATTATTTGTGGGGTACAAATTTTTGTTGATTTTGTGTTCAAGGATGTATAAATATACAGGATTGTATGCAGTCTTTTGGAAGTCCAAGGAAAATAAATTGCTTCGCGGAGCGCAGATGGATAGGACCGCAGAGGTCCAACGCTGAACATTTGGGGCAAAAATGGACACAATATTCGCGCTTGATACAGGTCTGAATTTGGATTGTAACTAAATATTTGACACATAATAGGTTTCTGACACAGAATAACTGTAGTCAAAGAACTTAGAATTGGTTATATGATTTTTTGCTTTTGTGCAATACACTATGCTGTTGCGAATTGACCCCCCCCCAAAAAAAATTGTTTACCCCCCCTTGTTTTTGCAAAAAAAAAAAATATCTGAAGAAATTGTTCCCCCCCCACCCCCCCCAATTTTTTTTTCACCTCCCCTCCCCTTTTCCCCAAAATAATTCTTTCCCTCAAGATATGGTCTTAATCTCAATTAAAATTTCCAATGGAGTTTGCAACCATAATTTCCCATTTAAATACATCATAAAAGTCTTAAAATAGAAAATGACATACATAATCATGGCTAAAATTAATATTCCTTAATCAACATTTTTAAACAGTTACTTCTAATAAAATGCTCCGCTGGGCGCAGCTTGATACGACCGCAGAGGTCGAACCCTGAACAGTTGGGGCAAGTATGGACACAACATTCAAGCTTGATACAGCACTGAATTTGGATTGTGATTAAATATTTGACACAGCATAGGTTTCTGACACAGAATGAATGTGGTCTAAGAACTTAAATTTTTTTAATTTACCTATTCAAACCATATCATTATTATTTGCTTTTATATATAAATCAGAAATAACCAATTTAGAATGGAAAATTTTAAAGAAAAAAAAATCCCTCCCCCAAATGTTTTGAACCCCCTTATGATTCATCACCCCCAAACTCAATCCCAGCCTTCCCTTTGTGGTATGGTACCTTGCAGTACAATTTCAGAGAGATCCATACACTTGAACACAAGTTATTGTCTGGAAACTAGAAAAATGCTTGTTTTTAGGCCCCTTTTTGGCCCCAAATTCCTAAACGTTTAGGGCAATTACCTGCAAACGCAAACCCAGCTTTCCCTTTGTGATATGGAACCTTGTAGTACAATTTCATAAAGATCCATACACTTACACACAAGTTATTGTCCTGAACTAGAAAAATGCTTGTTTTTTGCCCCTTTTTGGCCCCTAATTCCAAAAATTTTGAGGCAATTACCCCAAAATCAATCCCAGCCTTCCCTTTGTGGTATGGTACCTTGCAGTACAATTTCAGAGAGATCCATACACTTGAACACAAGTTATTGTCTGGAAACTAGAAAAATGCTTATTTTTGGCTCCTTTTTGGCCTCTTATTCCTAAACGTTTTGGGCAATTACCCCCAAACTCAATCCCAGCATTCCCTTTTTGATATGGAACCTTGTGGTACAATGTCAGAGAGATCCATACACTAACACACAAGTCATGTCTAGAAGTTACAAAAATGCTTATTTTTGGCCCCTAATTCCTTAACTGTTGGTACTGTTGGTACCATAACCCCCAAAATCAATCCCAACCTTCCTTTTGTGGTATTGAACCTTATGGTAAAATTTCATAGAGATCCATTCACTTAAACTAAAGTTAGAGTGCTAAAAACCAATGTGTCTTCGGACGATGACGTCGACGACGCCAAATTCATACCAATATATGAATAAAAATAAATTGACAGCTATCACTGCAAGACAATACAACATTTATTTATACATAATTTAAAAGCAGTGTAAGGGAGGTAATCCAAACATAACATTGTACTTTTTTTAATTGTCCATTACCCAGGAAACCCTTGTTTTCCCCCTTTTTTGCCCCTATTAAATTCCTAAACGGTTTGAGTCATAACCCGCCAAAGCCAATCCTAACCATACTTTTGTGGTATGGAAACTTGTGGTATAATTTCAGAGAGATCCATACACCGTTCCACAAGTTATTGTCTGGAAACTAGAAAAATGCTTATTTGGGCCCCTAATTCCTAAACTGTTAGGACTATAATCCCCAAAATCAATCCCAACCTTCCTTTTGTGGTTATAAACCTTGTGTTTAAATTTCATAAATTTCTATTTACATTTACTTAAGTTTTTGTCCGAAACCAAATGTCTTCAGATACTGACGACGACAACGTGATACCAATATACGACCGCAAAATTTTTTGCGGTCATATAAAAAATATCCATGACAAGAGTGCACACGCTGAAATGTCTCGCCTTCTTTACTAATCATTGATATTATGTTGATAGTCCTAAATATAAAGCTTTATTACAAATGTCACATAAACTTAACATTAACCAAGTGAACTAAACATTGACCAATGAACCATGAAAATGAGGTCAAGGTCAGATGAACCATGCTAGGCAGGCATGTACAGCTAACAATTCTTCCATACAACAAATATAGTTGACCTATTGCTTATAGTTTAAGAAAAACAGATGAAAACACAAAAACTTAACACTGAGCAATGAACCTTGAAAATGAGGTCAAGGTCAAATAAAACCTGCGTGACTGACATATAGATCATAAAATATTTCCATACACCAAATATAGTTGAACTATTGCATATAGTATTAGAAAAAAAAGACCAAAACTCAAAAACTTAACTTTGACCACTGAACCATGAAAATGAGGTCAAGGTAAGATGACACTTGCCAGCTAGACATGTACACCTTACAATCATTCCATACACCAAATATAGCTGACCTATTGCATGCAGTATTAGAAAAAAAGACCAAAACTCAAAAACTTAACTTTGACCACTGAACCATGAAAATGAGGTCAAGGTCAGAAGACACCTGCCAGCTAGACATGTACACCTTACAATCATTCCATACACCAAATATAGTAGACCTATTGCATACAGAATAAGAAAAACAGACCAAAACACAAAAACTTAACTATAACAACTGAACCATGAAAATGAGGTCAAGGTCAGATGACACCTGCCAGCTAGACATGTACACCTTACAATCATTCCATACACCAAATATAGTAGACCTATTGCATACAGTATAAGAAAAACAGACCACAACACAAAAACTTAACTATAACCACTGAACCATGAAAATGAGGTCAAGGTCAGATGACACCTGCCAGTTGGACATGTACACCTTACAGTCCTTCCATACACCGAATATACTAGACCTATTGCTTATAGTATCTGAGATATGGACTTGACCACGAAAACTTAACCTTGTTCACTGATCCATGAAATGAGGTCGAGGTCAAGTGAAAACTGTCTGACAGGCATGAGGACCTTGCAAGGTACGCACATACCAAATATAGTTATCCTATTACTTATAATAAGAGAGAATTTAACATTACAAAAAATCTGAACTTTTTTTTCAAGTAGTCACTGAACCATGAAAATGAGGTCAAGGACATTGGACATGTGACTGACGGAAACTTCGTAACATGAGGCATCCATATACAAAGTATGAAGCATCCAGGTCTTCCATCTTCTAAAATATAAAGCTTTTAATAAGTTAGCTAACGCCGCCGCCGCCGGATCACTATCCCTAAGTCGAGCTTTCTGCGACAAAAGTCGCAGGCTCGACAAAAATGTGTACCCATGATAATAAATCAATCCATGCTGATGTATTTTTTAGTTGCCATCTCATTGTCATTTAATGCAAGTCTCTTTTATTCATAATTAGATATGTGAAGTAATGAGTGAAATGTATAATTGGTGTTGATGAATATTGAATAGCATGGCTTAAGTTGAGGTTGGGAGCTATATAAATCATTCTGTGAGACGTAACAAGTTAAGTTCATCATTGAAGACCTTTTAGCCAGTACACTTGTGTCAAGATAAAGTACTACAATAAAGTGCTAATATTTCCATGTTTCTTTTGCAATTGTTGTTGCATGAACATCTGTCCCTTGTGCATTTTCACACTCATACATTGCCTGGTGTTGTAAAAAATACAGTTAAAGTTAAAACCTATTGTTCTCTTCAGTTACATGAAATCCAATTATTACCAAAACTTTCATATAATGAAAATACCAAGAAGCTAAAATTGTACAAACATGCAACTTTGTTCATATTATTAGCTCATAGTCACCTCTGCTGAATTTAATTATAATTTGATAAATACCAAACAATCAATAAGTTGCTTGGTGTAGAAATTTTAATAATTACCTGTGTATTTATTGTACTGGTCAGAAAATGGTTAATGGCTGCCACTTCTGAATCAACCAATGCTTTGTGCTCTTTCAAAATAATGTTGAGGTCAGAGGTAACATCTATTAATAAACTATTTGTAATGTCAACCTGTCTATGTAACTGTGGAATGATGGATTTAGTGTCTATGAGAAATGTAGCTGTTTCTATGCTAACCAAGTCTGAAGTAGCCTTTGTAACTAAACAAATCACTAAAACGAAAGCTCCGACTAGAACAAACCTCCACAGGATAGGAGCAATTAAATGTTTGTAAAGAAAAGTTGACAAAGTAAAAATAGTTCTAGCTACAAATGAGTGTGGAGTACTCTCTGTGTACGATATACGTTTCTGTTTTTGTTTTTTATTCCAGATTTCTCTCAGGATTTCCTGTTTGGATTTCTGAGCAGTATTGGCATACAATTGAATAGGATCATTTTTACCGGACCACATGTCTTCTTTGTTTTCTGAATAAAAGTTGTAAGGATTTTCTTTTGAGGCATGTTCTAGTTTACGATTATTACATCCTGTTTGCCAAAACTGAATTTTTTCAGCCACATGGTCTGTAGGTACTTTGATATCCACTCCCATTTTAGCCTTGCGTAATATTTTCCATAACCACACAAATCTATAGCCTAACATGAAAGCATCCATAATAATAAATAAACATATGAAAACTGGTAGTATAATTTGTTTCATACGACTGATCATCTTTGCTTTAGACATCATTTTATCATCCTGTGGTTCATTAGACCTTCCGTCTGATGATGAGTTAGTATTAACCCATAATGTTTCTGCAGCCTCTAGAATTTGTGATTTGAATTCTGATTTATAGTTAACAGGTAACTCTGGATCCTTTTTCAATAGTACTGTTCCAGGTGATACTTGTAGTCCTGCAGGTATAAGTTCTTCTACAGACTTCTTCAGTCTGAAATATAAACAGTTATAATCAATACTTATGCAATCTAAATTCAATACAAAAACTATGTCACTTCACTTGTTAGAATCTGACAAAGCTCTGATCTACTGAATACAATCTTATTCAAATACAGTTCCCTTGTCAAGGCTTCACATGTAAGAATCTGACAAAGCTCTGTTCTACTGAATAAAATCTCTTATTCAAATACAGATCCCTTGTCAAGGCTTCACATGTAAGAGTCTGACAAAGCTCTGTTCTACTGAATAAAATCTTATTCAAATACAGATCCCTTGTCAAGGTTTCACATGTAAGAGTCTGACAAAGCTCTGTTCTACTGAATAAAATCTTATTCAAATACAGTTCCCTTGTCAAGGCTTCACATGTAAGAATCTGACAAAGCTCTGTTCTACTGAATAAAATCTTTTTCAAATACAGATCCCTTGTCAAGACTTCACATGTAAGAGTCTGACAAATCTCTGTTCTACTGAATAAAATCTTATTCAAATACAGACCCCTTGTCAAGGCTTCACTTGTAAGAATCTGACAAAGCTCTGTTCTATAAAATAAAATTTTATCAAAATACAGATCCCTTGTCAAGGCTTCACTTGTAAGAATCTGACAAAGCTCTGTTCTACTGAATAAAATCTTATTCAAATACAGATCCCTTGTCAAGACTTCACATGTAAGAGTCTGACAAATCTCTGTTCTACAGAATAAAATCTTATTCAAATACAGATCCCTTGTCAAGACTTCACATGTAAGATTCTGACAAATCTCTGTTCTACTGAATAAAATCTTATTCAAATACAGATCCCTTGTCAAGGTTTCACATGTAAGAGTCTGACAAAGCTCTGTTCTACTGAATAAAATCTTGTTCAAATACAGATCCCTTGTCAAGGCTTCACTTGTAAGAATCTGACAAAGCTCTGTTCTACTGAATAAAATTTAATCAAAATACAGATCCCTTGTCAAGGCTTCACTTACAAGAATCTGAAAAAGCTCTGTTCTACTGAATAAAATCTTATTCAAATACAGTTCCCTTGTCAAGGTTCACTTGTTAGAATCTGACAAGGTTCTGTTCTACTGAATAAGATTTAATTAAAATACAGATCCCTTGTCAAGGCTTCACTTGTAAGAATCTGACAAAGTTGTGGTCTACTGAATAAAATTTTATCAAAATACAGATCCCTTGTCAAGGCTTCACTTGTAAGAATCTGACAAAGCTCTGTTCTACTGAATAAAATTTCTTATTCAAATACAGATCCCTTGTCAAGGCTTCACTTGTAAGAATCTGACAAAGCTCTGTTCTACAAAATAAAATTTTATCAAAATACAGATCCTTTGTCAAGACTTCACTTGTAAGAATCTGACAAAGCTCTGTTCTACTGAATAAAATCTAATTCAAATACAGATCCCTTGTCAAGAATTCACATGTAAGAGTCTGACAAATCTCTGTTCTACAGAATAAAATCTTATTCAAATACAGATCCCTTGTCAAGACTTCACATGTAAGAGTCTGACAAATCTCTGCTCTACTGAATAAAATCTTATTCAAATACAGATCCCTTGTCAAGGTTTCACATGTAAGAGTCTGACAAAGCTCTGTTCTACTGAATATAATCTTATTCAAATACAGATCCCTTGTCAAGGCTTCACTTGTAAGAATCTGACAAAGCTCTGTTCTACTGAATAAAATTTAATTAAAATACAGATCCCTTGTCAAGGCTTCACTTGTAAGAATCTGACAAAGCTCTGTTCTACTGAATAAAATCTTATTCAAATACAGTTCCCTTGTCAAGGTTCACTTGTTAGAATCTGACAAAGTTCTGTTCTACTGAATAAGATTTAATTAAAATACAGATCCCTTGTCAAGGCTTCACTTGTAAGAATCTGACAAAGTTGTGTTCTACTGAATAAAATTTTATCAAAATACAGATCCCTTGTCAAGGCTTCACTTGTAAGAATCTGACAAAGCTCTGTTCTACTGAATAAAATTTCTTATTCAAATACAGATCCCTTGTCAAGGCTTCACATCTAAGAGTCTGACAAAGCTCTGTTCTACTGAATAAAATCTTATTCAAATAAAGATCCCTTGTCAAGGTTTTACATGTATTAAGAGTCTGACAAAGCTCTGTTCTACTGAATAAAATCTTATCAAATACAGATCCCTTTTCAAGGCTTCACTTGTAAGAATCTGACAAAGCTCTGTTCTACTGGATTAAATCTTATCAAAATACAGATCCCTTGTCCACACTTCACTAACAAGAATCTGACAAAGCTCTGTTCTACTGAATAAAATCTTATTAAAATACAGATCCCTTCACAAGGCTTTACCTACACCTTTCTGTTTTGATATCATTGCATCAACCAAATCAACCTGAACATTTTTGAAGCTGTATAATATAACTGCTAATCCCAATGATTTCTAAAATGTATTCAAATCAAAATATAAAACAAATCCTGGTCAGATACTTGTAAGCTATGCCTGGTCACACAATCTATATTTCAATCAATTTCATATTCATAGACATAAATATTTCTGAGTATATAACGTTTTTTTTGTAATATTGAAATATTATATAACTTTCTTGGTAATGTTTTATATCTTATTCACTGCAACAATTTTGTCTCTATGGAATATTTACTTGGTTATACAGAAGTACTTTACTCTATTTGCCTGATTTACTACCATAAATTGGCCACTAGGAATTAATACTTGGCAATATTGAAATATGTAATGTTTGCTTCATCTTATACCATAAATTGGTGCAAATGAAATTGAATCAAATTGACCACCAGGGAATATTTTCTTGGTAATATAGAAATATATTTTTTTCTCACTTTTTATTAATATAAATCAATCACTAGGGAAAATTCTAATGGTAATATATAAATATTTATATTCTTGCCTTAATTTCTACCATAGGTTGGCCATTAGATAATATTTACCATTTACCTTATTTACTACCATAGTTGATCACTAGGAATATTTGTAATTTGCCGTATTTACTACTGGTAATATGAGAATATTGTATGACTTATTTAATACCATAAATTGGCCCATATGGAATTTTCACTACTATAAATTTGTCACTATGGAATATTTACTTGACAATACAGAAATATTAAAGGGGCAAGAAACATCGATGATGAATTATTCACTTGCAAGTGAATAATTCGACCACATTAAATTTGTATTCATGTGACCTTCAATTTAACCCCTTAGCTAGAGATGGGTTACACTAAATTAGGCATGTTCAGCTATCAAAAGGAAAAGTATGTCAACATTGAAATTGAAACAAGTGTAAACCATTTGGTTGACTGATTCGATCCACAAAAACTCAGTCTTATACAGTAAAAAAGATGATTAACATAATTTTTCTAACCTATAAAATGAAATCAAACCGACCTAGAAAAATCCAATTGGACGTGTTCGCTATCTTTTTATATCTATATTAATGTTTATATCAGATTATACTTATATGACCATCGGCAGTCTTCGAAGGTCACCTCCATGGTTAATTAAAAGGCATCTAGACTAAAATACATACTAAATGCTGGTACATATTATGGAGTCCATGCATCATAAATTGTTTGTTTTAGACTTTTTATAATATGGATATATGTTTAAGTATGCTATAAATCAAATATGAGAATTTGAGTCAAATTGGTGAACATAAATTTCTCAGCTAATGCCCCTTTAGTATTTTATCATTTTCAAATATAAATCAGTCACTTCAGAATATTCCATTAATAAAACAGAGATATTTATATTTTTACTTTTTTTCCTATAAAAAATTGTCCAGTTTTTTTAAATGTGAAATATGGATATGTTTTTATTTACCTATTCTTTATAATGTCCTTAAAATTAAGAACTGGTTCCACACCATCGACTTCAAGCCACTTCATAAAGTCCTTCAATCCCTGGAATGTCTTCTCCTCTCCCATAATAAACTGCTGATCAGCAAATCTCTCCTTAGAGAATTTTAGCCATGAATTATCCCTAAAGTTCTCAAGAAGTTCAATGTACTTTCCCTGTGTATTATCAAAATGTTTATCTAACACAGAGTCAGTTTCAGTTAAAAATTTCTGAAATTTATCAGCAATTAGTTTTGATTTTTCAGTTATGCTAATATCTATAGCAGTTTTTACTAAACCCTGACCACTATAAAACTTATTTAAAACATCCTGAACATTTTTTCTGATGGATTTATCTATTCTTGCTACATCCTGTTTAAGATGTGCTGAGCAAGCTCTCATACGATTAAATGTTCCATTGAATGCATTGACTAGTTCCTGGTCTTCGTATTGACTGATTTTGGCCATATGACTGCTAACAGATTCATGAATTTTTGCACTAGTATTTGATACAATTGTTAAATTACTAACAAGAGGTCCCTGGACTAAATAGAACACTCCTAAAAACATCGAAAATGTGAACATAAAGGCATACACAATATATAGTGTACATAATGTACATGACACATGTTTTGAAACTGGTTTTGAAAACAAGGTCAAGGTCAAAGGTTGGTTGACATTTCTCTCATCATCTTTAGCACCAATATAGGTGGTCGTCTGTGGACTAATGTATTTCTTGACCTCTGGAGTTTGAATTGGTCGCTGTCTTTTGATTACCAAAAAGGCTGCAACAAATGCTGAGAAAACAATGGATGTTATGATCAATGTAGCAATGATGGGTAGCCATGGAAACTGGTACAACTGATTTGTTGACTCAGTTAGAGGATACTCTGAAGGTGGATAAAATGGTGGATGCATCATAGACAATAAAACATAGTGACTGATGTAAGAATCATTAATCCGAGCAACAAACACATTTGGCAAGTCTGTATTTGGTGTCTTCAGGTCGAAGGTCAAATGAAATTCTACAGGACATTTGACAAACACATCGAAATGAGCCAATTTTCCTTCCATAAACTGGTCATACATATCAACGGTCAGATATCCTGGACAAGACTGTAGTTTCCCTATAAAACAAAAAACATAATCATACCATTGACTTAATGACCAATCTCTACCATAACATTATAGTTATATGAAATAAACTGTTAACACAGAGATATGTCTCGCCTTTTTGTTATTTTGATAATGCAAATGTTAAAATTAAAAAAGCAATACTTTAACATGCAAGTAATGCAAATATTCAAAGTCAATGAACCATGACTGAAGGTACAGGGCTGAACAATCTCCATGGAAATGAGATGTGCCAATACTAATACAACTGCATACCAAATACCATTGACTTATCATAAGTCGTTCCCTTTAAACAAACCTAAACACAAATATTAACTTGTAAACTATGTAAAGTTTGAAAGTCAATGAGCCCTGATGAGGGGGTGGGGCTATATAATCTCCATGAAAATGAGACTTGCAAATGCCTTTACATTTGCGTACCAAATATTATTGACTTAACATTAGTGGTTCATCTTTGACTGATCTAATCGCAAACTAATACATGTAAACTAAGCAAAAGTTTCAAGGTCAATAGACTATGACTGGGGGATAAATATTCTCCATGGAAATGAGATGTGCCAATGCTTATAAACTGAATACCAACAAGAAATGATTGTAACAGGATGCTGTTACGAAGTCTCCCAAACGAAGCTCCCATAATTCGTAATTCCCAGGGTCGCCTGACATTGGGCAACGTCTAGTGAAAATTGGTTTGGTCCAGTAAAGTTATATGCATTAGTGATGCCTGGGGAATAACCTTGTATATCATTCAAATCATCTTGGCATGACAAACCAGAATATATATGGTTTAGGGGTGGGGATCTCGACCATTTACAAGATATAAGAACTTTCTCAAATGGCAGGGGGTGGGGATGACCCCTGGGGACTAACCCTGTATATCATTCAAACCATCTGAACATGACAAACCAGAATATATATGGTTTAGGGGTGGGGATCTTGACCACTTAGAAGATATTAGAACTTTCTTAAATGGCAGAGGGTCGGGATGACCCCTGGGGACTAACCCTGTATATCATTCAAACCATCTTAGCATGACAAACCAGAATATATATGGTTTAGGGGTGGGGATCTCGACCACTTAGAAGATATTAGAACTTTCTTAAATGGCAGGGGGTGGGGGTGACCCCTGGGGACTAACCCTGTATTTCATTTGATGTGCTTTATCATGACAAACCAGAATATATATGGTTTAGGGGTGGGGATCTCGACCATTTACAAGATATTAGAACTTTCTCAAATGGCAGGGGGTCGGGATGACCCCTGGGGAATAACCCTGTATATCATTCAAACCATCTTAACATGACAAACCAGAATATATATGGTTTAGGGGTGGGGATCTTGACCACCTACAAGGTATAAGAACTTTCTTAAATGGCAGGGGGTGGGGGTGACCTCTGGGGACTAACCCTGTATTTCATTTGATGTGCTTTATCATGACAAACCAGAATATATATAGTTTAGGGGTGGGGATCTCGACCATTTACAAGATATTAGAACTTTCTTAAATGGCAGGGGGTCGGGATGACCCCTGGGGAATAACCCTGTATATCATTCAAACCATCTTAGCATGACAAACCAGAATATATATGGTTTAGGGGTGGGGATCTTGACCACTTAGAAGATATTAGAACTTTCTTAAATGGCAGGGGATGGGGGTGACCCCTGGGGACTAACCCTGTATTTCATCTGATGTGCTTTATCATGACAAACCAGAATATATATGGTTTAGGGGTGGGGATCTCGACCATTTACAAGATATTAGAACTTTCTCAAATGGCAGGGGGTCGGGATGACCCCTGGGGACTAACCCTGTATATCATTCAAACCATCTTAGCATGACAAACCAGAATATATATGGTTTAGGGGTGGGGATCTTGACCACTTACAAGGTATTAGAACTTTCTTAAATGGCAGGGGGTGGGGGTGACCCCTGGGGACTAACCCTGTATTTCATTAAATGGGCTTTATCATTTAGAACATTTTCAATTAAAAAGATTGTGTCTATCACAAACGGTTTTCAATTTATAATCATTTGAAAATTTTTAAAAATAAAATCCCATAGGGTTCTATAGTAAAACCCTCTTTTCTTTTTGCCCCTCAAAGTACCCCTTTATAAACCCCATTGCACAAACAAAACCCTGATTGCACCACTAGACATGTTAGTCTTACATATTGTGAAACCCTAAGTTAATCTGACAAGCGGTTTTGGAGAACGGGTGCGGACAAGTTCAAATTTAAAAGCGGCGGAAGAAGAAGAAGAAGAAGAAGAATAATAATAATAATAACAAGAAATGATTGTAACAGGATGCTGTTACGAAGTCTCCCAAACGAAGCTCCCATAATTCGTAATTCCCAGGGTCGCCTGACATTGGGCAAAGTCCAGTGAAAATTGGTTTGGTCCAGTAAAGTTATATGCATTAGTGATGCCTGGGGACTAACCCTGTATATCATTCAAATCATCTTGGCATGACAAACCAGAATATATATGGTTTAGGGGTGGGGATCTTGACCATTTACAAGATATTAGAACTTTCTCAAATGGCAGGGGGTCGGGATGACCCCTGGGGACTAACCCTGTATATTATTCAAACCATCTTAGCATGACAAACCAGAATATATATGGTTTAGGGGTGGGGATCTTGACCACTTACAAGATATTATAACTTTCTTAAATGGCATGGGGTGGGGGTGACCCCTGGGGACTAACCCTGTATTTCATTTTATGTGCTTTATCATGACAAACCAGAATATATATGGTTTAGGGGTGGGGATCTCGACCATTTACAAGATATTAGAACTTTCACAAATGGCCGGGGGACGGGATGACCCCTGGGGACTAACCCTGTATATCATTCAAACCATCTTAGCATGACAAACCAGAATAGATATGGTTTAGGGGTGGGGATCTCAACCATTTACAAGATATTAGAACTTTCTCAAATGGCAGGGGGTCGGGATGACCCCTGGGGACTAACCCTGTATATCATTCAAACCATCTTAGCATGACAAACCAGAATATATATGGTTTAGGGGTGGGGATCTCGACCATTTACAAGATATTAGAACTTTCTCAAATGGCAGGGGGTCGGGATGACCCCTGGGGACTAACCCTGTATATCATTCAAACCATCTTAGCATGACAAACCAGAATATATATGGTTTAGTGGTGGGGATCTTGACCACTTACAATGTATTAGAAGTTTCTTAAATGGCAGGGGGTGGGGATGACCCCTGGGGACTAACCCTGTATTTCATTTAATGGGTTTTATCATTTAGAACATTTTCAATTAAAAAGATTGTGTCTATCACAAACGGTTTTCAATTTATAATCATTTGAAATTTAAAAAAAATAAAATCCCATAGGGTTCTATAGTAAAACCCTCTTTTCTTTTTGCCCCTCAAAGTACCCCTTTATAAACCCCATTGCACAAACAAAACCCTGATTGCACCACTAGACATGTTAATCTAACATATTGTGAAACCCTAAGTTAATCTGACAAGCGGTTTTGGAGAACGGGTGCGGACAAGTTCAAATTTAAAAGCGGCGGAAGAGGAAGAGGAAGAAGAATAATAATAATAATAAGAACTGAGCAAAAACAATAAGTCTTCCCAAACTTCGTTTGGGAGACTTAATAATAATAAGAACTGAGCAAAAACAATAAGTCTTCCCAAACTTCGTTTGGGAGACTTAATTATCATTGACCTACCACAAATGGTTCCCCTTAGACTGACCTAATCACAAACTAATACATTGTAAACTAAGCAAAAGCTTCAAAGTCAATAGACCAGACTAAGGGGGCAGGGTCAAATAATCTCCATGGAAATGAGATATGCCAATGCTTATAAAACTGCATACCAAATATCATTGATCTACCACTAGAGGTTCCCCATAAAATGACCTAATCACAAACTAATACATGTAATCTAAGCAAAAGTTTCAAGGTCAATAGACCATGACTGAGGAGGCGAGGTCAAATAATCTCCATGGAAATGAGATATGCCAATGCTTATACAACTGCATACCAAATATCGTTGACCTACCACTAGTGGTTCACCATAAACTAGACCTAATCATAAACTAATACATGTAAACTAAGCAAAAGTTTCAAAGTCAATAGACCATGACTGAGGGGAAAGGGTCAAATAATCTCCATGGAAATGAGATGAGTCAATGCTAATACAACTGCATACCAAATATCATTGACCTACCACTAGTGGTTCACCATAAACTAGACCTAATCACAAACTAATACATTGTTGATGCCGGGTACCCAAATTGCACTAATTTTGGCAGTTTTCACCTATACCTTCATTCAAGAAACAGACAAAAGTTTCCATTCTGTGTTTATTTTGTAAATGTATCCTTAGTTCATACTGAATCATAGAAAAATAGGGTTGAACCTACATCAATACAACCTAAGATTCTGTAATGAGGAGTACCTAAATTGCAAACATTCTTATCTTCTCATTCTTAAAAATATTTTTTCACTGGATACTTCATCTGTTGATATATTATGTAACACTTTTGTGTATATTTAAGTATAATTAGCTATGTTGAAAGATGTGCCAAATGGCAAATTATACAAATACAAATTGTTCAGCCTCTATGATTAACTATAAGATTTCCTTTGCTTTACTGCAAAATGGGTGAAAATTCGGTACTCGGTGCAATTTGGGCACTGTGACTTCAGTTGTGTATGAATTCAGCTGACAATATCAAATCTATCATAAAGACTATTGTTATCTTGTAAACTCTCATTCTGATTCTAAATACAGATTATGATGTTTCAACTGCTAATAAGAATACATTGACATCCTATATTGTTTCCAGATAAATTCATGGCATACATGTTCAAAAACTAGTTTAACCAAACAAAATGTCAGGAACCTTGTCAGTGGTTGCCTTTTGTCATATCTTAATGTATTTCATCATATTTTGAATTTGGTATTGGTGGCAGATCTTGATAGTCCCTGTTAAATCCATTCACCACTTATTGAATTCATGGTGAAGAGCTCAACATAATGTATAGACACATGTTAAGTTATTGACCTTTTGAACTTCAGATATCTTTTTTATATGCTGTCTCATTGTTATGTATACCCACATCTCCTTTTATTCATAGACAGACAATGACTGAAGGAGAAATAAGGAAAGGAAATGTTTAATCAGAGAAACTAGTAACTAAAGATAAGTCATGGTTTTTATTATCTTTTCACAACTAAAAGAATAAAACAAAAGGCTAAGCATACCTTGTACTTTTATAGTCCACAAGCCTGTTTTAGGATTCCACACTAATCCACCAGACACAGAACTTCCATCTAAGACTGATTTTGGCAGATCATCTTTGAAGTGAGTCAAAATGGAAGAATTATCTAAATATAAAAATAAACGTAATGAATGATAGGGCAAAGAAAAAATTTCTTGTTATATATTGGGTCATTTTCTAGTAATTCATGAAATCTTTTGTTTTGTGTACTTCCACCTAGAAATGATTTTAATCCTATTATTTCCACAGTACTTAATATTTGTATCAGATGTAGTCTATGAATTATATACTGGATATATTTATTCCTAGAATGACCCACAAACTTTCAAATTTTCATAAAAGAAACCGTTATATTCACCAGCTGACCTTTACCGCTTTTTCTAATTTGAAGATGGCTTGATGAAAATTGTTATGTAAACACTTAATTTCAATTTCAGTTTGTCATTATCTACTTTTAATATATGCATTTTGAAATAAAACAATATCTTGAAGCTTATCTGAAAACTTGGAAAAGATCTGACCAGTTATAAGTTAATATAAATCTATGAGTTTTTGTTCCACCTACCAATAAACATTCTAATATAGGCTGATCTAGTAATGTTATATACTGGTGTCTCATACTCAATTCCAGCTCCTGTTATAGTTATTGATGGATCCACACGGATGCTAGATGGTCCGTAGAGTGGTTGTGGAGGATAAATATCGGAGAAATTCTTCTCAATACAACCACCTTTTGAGAAAGTAGAAGAACTATACATAAATGGCCGCTCCACCTGGATGTTTGTAGAGTAAACATTACTTAATCCAAGACTTGATCTGTGTGGACGTACCCTGAACTTCTTCCTCTTATTAAAATCATGTGGTTTTTTCAATCCATGCACTTGAAATTTGGTTGGCCTGTGTGTTATTTTATCATTCTCAGAACCAATAAGAATAATTTCATCACTTATTTTTGGAAAAGAATAGTGTGATGCTTTAATAAACTCTGATGTAAACACCCCTCTCTCGTTGAAGGATATATCACCCTTAGCGAATTTGACCCTTTTTGGAAGGGTGTAGTCTATCCCTAGCATACGCACTGTGTATTCCATTTGGTATAAATGTCGTGGTTTCTTGTACTTCAAGTGACACAAGAATCTATCATTTACTGACGAGAACACCGGCTCCAAGACAAAATTATGAATATCACCTGCAAAATAACAAAGATATATTTATAATAAGAGAATAAAAAACATACAAAATAACAAAATATTGAAATCTAGAGGTCAGCATACATTTATGCCCAATACGAAATTACCAAATATCAATATCTACAGGTTACCATACATTTATGTCCAGATCAAAAATCACCAAATATCAATATCTACAAGTCACCATACATTTACAATTCTCATTTAAAGCCTTATATTTACTATGTCCCTTTCTGTAACAGAAAAAATATTCTAAAATTTACACTTTGAACAGACAATATTAGAATAAAAAATCATTTATAAAAATATATTTGCTCATAGGATTCAATAATTGTTTTTCCAGATAGGAATAAAAGAAGATGTTGAGTCAAAAAAAATGAGACTGAAACCCAACAATACAAGTAAAATCAAATATGTCTTTTAAATAATATACAGACTTGGCTATAATAGTTCCAATTTCTAAAACACTAATATTGTAATATTCAAAAGAAAATATGTCAAAAATCAACATATTTTAACAATGGTAATTTAGTTTTACTGAATTGAACTCCTGAATATGTAATTGAAGATTTGAAAATATTGAAATTATGAGCATATATATGGTATTGACAATTGACTATTGTTGAAGATTTTATACTGACCTCTACAAGCCTTTATTTTGTGTTGTTGGGGTCACTATCTCATTGATATATATCCCACATCTCCTTTTTTTATATTAATTAGAACAACTAAAATATCTTGTCCTAATATTTAATGGGAGCTAACTCTTACCAGAAGCACATTCCACAGGCTTTTTAGGACAATCATCACTGAAAGACTTCTGACAGCTTCTTTGTGTGTAACAATTTATATCACAACACTGACCTGGAAATAAAATTGAATTTTAAAAATCTGCAATAAACTTGACAAACTAATAAAACCTTTCTATTTGTTGTGTATCAAATTATGAATACAGAATTATCATTGTAGATTTAGCAATATTGAAGATTTTTTATGTTAAATTCATACATTTTTTTAAATGTTCATTTTATTTTGGTCGTTGAAGCAGGCCAATCAAAGGGAAATAATTCTTAATAATATTTACAATGGCTCTATAAGAAAAAAGGAAGTACTTTGTCATGAAAATGGAATCTTGAAAAGTTAGATTACAGTTTTATGCGTAATTGTGGAACTAAAAACACTCATACAGACTTCAATATTATTCTCCTGTTATAAAATTGTGCTTAACTATTAAAAACAGACCGATTAAATAAGCTCTACTGTTACTACTGGGCCCTTATTACAAGCAGATTAAGGTGTAAATTGAAGAAATACCTTCATATGAACGACAGTTTGGAGACATCAAACATTTATTACAGTCCTCTGTTGTCTTGTGACAGTCTTCTGTGGGGTAGGTAAAATTACTGATCTCCTCTGGTATAAGTCCAAAAGTATCCATAAACAAGGAGGTTGTATGTGTACAATAGATATTATTCTTTCTGTGTTCAAATCTCTCAAAATATTGCTGTAAATTGACATAAACATAGAGGTATTTTTTAAACTGCTACTTCTCTCAAAACATTGCAGAATAAAATTTATTAACTATTTAGACTTAAACATCCTATGTCTCTCTTTTTCAAATTTTTTCAATACCATGTGTTACCAATACCCTCTAGGAATCACAAATGTTCCTAGAGAATCCTTAATCAGGTAATTTGGAGATGAAATGTTTAGAAATCCAAATGTGAAACTAGAGAGGTGATCTAGTGATCACAGATACCCATGCCTGCAGCAACTGAGAGATCATGATTTTGTTTCTATAGCAGTATACTGTGAAATTTTATAAGATGTTTTCATTTTGTTTTAATTTAGAACTGATAAAGAATTATTTAACTCTGATTATACTATATATAACTATACTAACATTTCTTTCATATGGACATTCCGTATTGATTTGTCTGTTGAGGTAGGTATCACCGTCCTTATATCCATCAGGGCATGCTGGTATGTCAGGGTCATGTGAGTTACACTTGACCGCATTAGCAGCAGAGGTATGGTTACGTGTGATGTACAATACCAGTTTGTAATGATCTGGTAACTGATGCCTGAAAGTATTTACATTATTCTGTGATATTGTATTCATGTGATGATATATTGACTACTAGGTAACATCTTTTTTCAAATGTTATAAAGGGAAATAATCAGAGGTCATGTGACTTCAGTAGTAATAACTGTAGGTTACAAGAGAAATCAAATTCACATTTTCCAAAGTATAGAAAATATATTCCATTTCTGCACGTCGGAGCCATTAAAAATCTGCCTTTTTCATCAAGCGAAAAAAATAGACGATGTTTTTCAACTGCATTTTATGCCTCATGACCATATATATTTTTTAGGTTGTTATGCAATACTGGCATTTCTAGTAACAGAAACTGCTACCCTTTTTTTCCCAGTTTGTGTAGTCTTCGAGAGATAAAATACGGAACACCACTGGTACCCTATGGAAAATGAATTACGATTAATTGCGCTCTTGTAACCTGTACAGTTTAAGATAAGTCTGAATGATTTGGTAACTAAGCGATAAGTTTAAGATTGATGGAGTCGTCAGATCAGCAGAATAGAACAACAACAATAACCATGATGAAATTAACTGCTGATTGATTGAAATTTATGTTGAGAGTCTTATACTACAAGAATTACATAAACTTTACATTATCAATGATTCATAAAAGTGAGGTCAGATGAACCTTGCCAGACAGAATTTTAAACTTTACAATCATTCCATACACCAAATATAGTTGATCTATTGCTTAAAGTATCTGAAAAATAGACTTAATCATAACAACAATGTTAACCAATGAATCATAAAAATGATGTCAAGTTCAGATGAACCCTGTCAGATAGACATGCTCACCTTACAATCATTATATACATCCAATATGGTTGACCCTATTGCTATAGTATCTGAGACTTCACTTTACTTAGCATAAGTATATATCAGATTCTACGACAAGCAAGACAAATATCATTAGGTCCTCAAATACAGATCAGTAGAATAGACTAAACCTCATCAGGTCCTCAATACAGATCAGCAGAATGGACCAAAAATCATCAGGTCCTCAATACAGATCAGTACAATGGATAAAAAATCATCAGGTCCTCAATACTGACCAGTAGAATAGACCAAAAATCATCAGGTCCTCAAGTTAGATCAAAAGAATAGACCAAAATCCATCTTGACCTCAATACAGATCAGTAGAATAGACCAATCAAAGCACTGTAAGCGCTGTAGGCAGTTAACCAAAAACCAAGGCAAACGTAATTATGAAAACTGTGGCAATGTTGCTTCAATTTTCTTTTAAGATTTGAAAGAACAAACATTAAACATTCGTATATTGTACATTTATGTTCATTAAATGAATTGATTATTAAGGCAAATTAATTAATATTTCATCAAGGTTTTCAAAAGCAACTCATATATCAATGTAAATGACCCCCATCTTCAACCCCAAGTGCATGATGTTACTCCATACCAAGTTTGGAATAAAATTACAGGCGATTATAAAACAGTTGGTCAAACATTCTCGGGCTTTACACTGCTTGAAAGATTTATATGTTTTCTTTAAAATGAGCCATAAATGAAAATAATTATAGGCCCAGAAATAATTTAATAAACAATTAAAGTAAATTCAATAATCTAGACTCATTTTTTGGATCAAATTTTTTTTATAATAAACAAGAAATAATTGTAACAGGATGCCGTTACGAAGTCTCCCAAACAAAGCCCCCATAATTCGTCATTCCCATGGTCTCCTGACATTGGGCAAAGTCCAGTTCATATTGGTTTGGTCTAGTAAAGTGATATGCATATGTGACACCAAGGAGATTGACCCTGTATGTCATTCAAATCTTTTTGAAATGATGAACAGGAATAAAAATGGTTTAGGTGTGGGTATCTCGACCGTTTACAAGTTCTCAAACAGGAGGGGGTGGGGTGACCCCAGGGACTCCTCCTATATTTCATTTGATTTGTTATATTGTCCCATACATGAATACATATGGTTTAGGGGTGGGGATCTCGACCATTTCCAAGTTCTCAAACAGGAGGGGGTGGGGTGACCCCAGGGACTCCCCCTATATTTCATTTGATTTGTTATATTGTCCCATACATGAATACATATGGTTTAGGGGTGGGGATCTCGACAATTTCCAAGTTCTCAAACAGGAGGGGGTGGGGTGACCCCAGGGACTCCCCATATATTTCATTTGATTTGTTATATTGTCCCATACATGAATATATATGGTTTAGGGGTGGGGATCTCGACCGTTTACAAGTTCTCAAACAGGAGGGGGTGGGGTGACCCCAGGGACTCACTCTATATTTCATTTTTGATTTGTTTTATTGTCCCATACATGAATATATATGGTTTAGGGGTGGGGATCTTGACCATTTCCAAGTTCTCAAACAGGAGGGGGTGGGACGACACTGGGGACTCCCCCAAATTATTTTCATTTGATTTCTTTAATTGTCCCATTCAAGTATATATATTGTTTAGGGGAGGGATCAAGACGGTTTATAAGATAACAGTACATTTTCAAATTAAAGGGGGTTGGGATGACCCCCAGGGACTCACCCTATATTTTGGTTGATTTTTTGTATTGTCCTGTTCTCATTACTGAAGACTGCATGTGTCTATCACCTACTGTTTTCGAGAAATAGTCATTTGAAAATTTTAAAAAATAAAATCCCATAGGGTTCTATAGTAAACCCCTCCCTTCTTCAGGCCCCTCCAAATACCCCTAAATAGACCCCAATGCACAAACAAAAGATAAATGGCTCCGCTAGACATGTTAGTCTAATATTTTATGAAACCCTAAGTAAATCTGACAAACGGTCAAAGTTGTCTTCTTTAGACGGTTTGAGTGGATTCGGTCCGACTTGTCTCGTGGACGAGTTGTTCACATTACTTAAAACATCCCATCAACGTCGATTTCATGACCTCGTTTATCCTGGTTCCCGGTACTACGTTCCAGGTATTAGCTGATATTGGTATATGTGTAACATACTGAATATTGCGATCGGGAACCAGTCTAGACCTCGATTCATTCATAAAATAACAACAACCTTATTTGGCAAGATAAGTTAGAAATTACCACCCACTTATATAACTTTATTTCCTCTATCATAGAGATTTGTTGTACATGAACAATATTCCTGCGCATTTTGCCATTTGGGAAATATAAACGACTTGTAATTACCGATTTTCCGCGATGAAATATTTCATACAATTGTTCTTTGACATCGTAGCCAAAAGCACAGGGGATAATAAACTACGTACGGATTCCTATTGAGCACTACTTCCTATGTGCAACTTCAAAAGTTTTGGGTAGTTCGACGATCATTTAAGGTTTTTCTGGTCATATTTTTTGTATTCCAGAAATAAAAGTATTAAAAAAATGTCCAATTAGTTATAAATAACATAATAGCCAGCTAGATAATAACAATGGCACGTATTTCAGCATTTATTGGGTAGAACACAAATCTAGGGTGCTCGCATAAGGCAGCTTAACTGCCTAAAAATCATCAGGTCCTCAAGTTAGACCAGTAAAATTGACCAAAATTATCAGGTCCTCAATACAGGTCAGTAGAATGGACCAAAAATCATCAGGTCCTCAATACAGATCAGTAGAATAGTCCAAAAATCATCAGGTCCTCAATACAGATCAGCAGAATTGACCAAAATTCATCAGGTCCTCAAGCAAGATCAGTAGAATGGACTAAAATTCATCAGGTCCTCAATACAGACCAGAAAAAAGGTACAACAATCATCAGGTCCTCAAGTTAGAACAGTAGAATAGACCAAAAATCATCAGATCCTCAATACAGATCAGTAGAATGGACCAAAAATCATAATGTCCTCAATACAGATCAGTAGAATGGACCAAAAATCATCAGGTCCTCAAGTTAGATCAGGAGAATAGACCAAAATATCATCAGGTCCGCAAGTCAGATCAGTACGATTGACCAAAAACATCAGGTCCTCAAGCCAGATCAGTAGAATAGACCAAAAAAAAAAAAAATAAGGTCCTCAAGCCAAATCAGTAGAATAGACCAAAAAGCATCAGGTCCTCAAGCCAAATCAGTAGAATAGACCAAAAATAATCAGGTCCTCGAGTCAGATCAGTACAGTTGTAGTTCCTGTCAATATAATACTTCCATAGATGGACCAAAAACATCAGGTTCTCAAGCCAGATCAGTAGAATAGGCCAAAAAGCTATTCCTTGTAACTGACTTACCTACAGAAATCCTTTTTAATAGCCCTGTACTGTTTCTTTGCTTTTTCCAACTGGAACCTATCTCTATCTATGAACTTGAAATCATCTTCATGATCTAAATCAATATACTGGGGTACCAGATACAGACTGGAAACCTTTATCTTGATGTGTAGACCTGCTTCTCGTTGGAAGTCAAACTCCTGAATCTGTGCATTGTTTGGTATGTACATAGAGACATCCAACTTCTTTATTCCTCCTATTTTTTCATGGAATACATTTTGGGATGATGTCAATGAGACCTCAGTACCAGCTGTCAATCATACAATGAAAAGTCATGTGACAATGAATTTATCTTCAATATATTTCAGGATACAGTACCAGAAAGTTATATGGTACTAGAAAGAAAGTTATGTAGATTTTTACATTCTACTATAAAACAAAGCCTTTTCTCAAACAATATGTATAGTTTATAATGACTAATTTCCCTTTTATTACAACTGTACTACCACAATAAATTTTTGTTTTCCAATCTAAATATATTGATTTGTTTCTGAAAACCACAGTATGAAAATAGGTTACTCTTTTCTTAAATCAATCAATACTAAAAACCTAAGGTACTATGTATATCTTACCTGATTGTTTAATCAATTTATTCCATTTAACATCTTGTACAGGAAATGCTGCTCCAACACAGATGGTATCCTGTGTACTGCTGCATGATGCCACTTCATAAGAGGCTCCAGTACACGTAGAACATGGCCTACAAATGACATCACTACTGGATGTACAGGCTCGTGACATGTAATAACCATCTGGGCATGATGTGGCACATGCTGAAGTAACAAATTCGGGAAAGTGTTAGTATGTTATCATTTGATTGGATTGTACGGTTGATTTGTTGATATTTGATATATACACTGATACAATTTTCAAGGTATGCAGGTTCTAAAGTGGAGGGAGGTAAATTCACACAGGTTTTGGTGATTTGAACATAGACAATAATTCTGTTCTATAATAATTATTAGTTTTATTTGTAATTAACATATTATTGTCTTCAATCTTTCTGTATAATTATATAATTCTATTTAATATTTGTTGTGTAACTATTATGTCTGAGGGCTGAAACTACTTTGATAGATAAGTTACTTCTCTTTCTGACTCTTAATGGGAGAAGTGGTAAGACTTTAGAGAAAACAGTTTATTTGTTAGATACTCTAAAATATTGCCATTTTTCCATTTGTTTCATAGTCAAACAAGCTCAATCAGATCAAAGAAAGAATTCATAGAAAAATATACAGTTCCTTCCATTTTTTAATTGATTTACATAAAATGTTAATTTATGAAGTTGCAAGTATAATTGGTCCTAGAATTTAAATATAGAAAAATATTCAACTTGTGACCAATTAAACTCTGATAATTCACTATATGTTTTCAACAGAATTCACAGATTAGTTGATCTATAATCTTATAAAAGAAAACCCATACATCTACAAGTTCAGAATTTTCTGCATAACATTCAATGTGGTGTTAAATTGTGACATTTTCAGTTTCTTTTTGGGTTCGTTTTCTGTCTCAAGTGTCTCTGTGATTCTTATTGTACTTAATATCTATAAGAATTATTATATGATCAAACCTCTGCATTTCCTGTCTTTGACATAGAACCCTCGTTTACATCTACAGGTCATGTAACCCAAGTCTGTATCACACATAGCGTAGGTCTCACATAGAGACTTGTCAGTTAGACATGAAGTTTGTAGCAACTGGACTCTAGTAACCAACGTCATACTGCTACTATTTAGAGCTATCGCTGATAAGTCAGGGTTTACAGAGTAAGAACGAATTCTTCCTGCAAAATTATTAAAATTCTTATAAAAATCATGAGTTGTAAATGAGATAGAAACAAGGAATTATTTGAATCTGGAATAATTATAAATTAATTGATAAGTAATGTATGATGCAAACAGACCTAATTTAGGAGGGTTAGCCATGCTAAGGGGGGTAAGTTAGTTTGCACTGAAATATCAGTGAAAGTAAAATTAACCTTAGCCATGTGAGCATGGCTTACCCTATTTAGTTAGGTTAGTTTTCATCATACAATTTTCCAGAATTCAAAATTATTCCAGATTCAAATAATTCCTTTTTTAGAGATCATTAGCACCTGTAATAACTCTCATAGAGAGATAGCTGAACAATGGCTACACAAATAAAGAATATATCATCTCATATTGGATATATATCTCCCCTTTTGTTTGTTTTCATGGAAAAGTGGTAATTTTGAGATTTAAAGGACTATTGTGAATTTTTTTTAACAAGATACTAGATGAGATGTGAACAAATTGTATTGCATTTTTGCCCTATCAATTTTTGGCTTTTGCAAAACTGAAATGAATATTATGGTGGTACAAAAAACTACAGGGAGATAACTCTTTAAAAATCAGCTGAACGTTTTAATCACGTTCTATTGTTAAGGAAATATTAAGCTTCTCAATGATCAAAATTAATGTTTGTCAAACTGCTATATATCCAATGAAATTTTTCCGATAAAGTGTGTGGTTCAAATTTTTTGAAATTTTTATATTTTTGTCAAAGGGTCAAAGTAAATATTTTGTCAAAATTTTATGAAATTAAACGAGCCAAATCAATTTTGGTCTAGGTGTTTGGTACCATCTTATTAAAGCTTTGTAAACTTTCCTCATCTATTAATGAATTTATATATGGGGAACCAACACCTGAAGTGGTAATTGTGTGGTTGGGTAATAGTGGGTGGATACCGAAAGGTATTCACAGTTGTCTTTCAATAGATAAGTAAAACAAAACGATAATAAAGACAACACCCATCAATTACCGCATGGTAAGAGTTTATTCTGGTCAACATGTTTCGCCATCAAGCGTGGCGTCTTCAGTACAATATTACATATGAAATCAAACAGTGAAATACATATTTGGTGGTTCATGTGGTTCGCCGGAAGTAATGTTACAATAATGGTTATTATGACGACGTTATAGATATAAATAGAAAGTGAAAAAGAAATAAGAATTTAGTTAAGTTAAAAGTGAAAGTTAGTCAATAAAGTTATTAACGATATGGTTAGTTGCTATCCACACAAGTCTGTGTAGTTATCAATTAATGTTTAATGAACTTTTTTCTTGTATTGTGTAATTCCACTTACTTATTACTGCATTTTCTGGAACATCTATTTTTAGCACATGTTTCTGTTTAAAATTTGTCACTGCTAACACAGTAGCAACTAAAATCATGAAAATAATGCCTATACAAAAAGTCCAGCTTCTTTTCTGACCATTGGGAGACAATTTCATTCTGTAACTCTGGTTAGGTATAATGCATTCTGATTGGCTATTGCTGCTGCTCATCATGTAATATCTGTTTTTAATTCCATTTTCCTGAAAATATAAAAAAAATTATTTAAGTACAGAAAAAAAAAATATAAATATTAAAGACTCCTTGACCCTTTTATCACTCACCTGGAACCTATTTGACTAATCCATTGTGCTAAAAAATGTAATATTCATAATTTTCACTGGCCATAATTCTGTTAGTTCTCATTATACGATTATATACAGATATCAGAAATGACAGTCAAAGAATTAATCACTTAAGATAACCATTTCCCTTTGTGGGACCCCCCTCCACCTTCAATCTCAGCTAAATCAAGCCAGTACCAAATGGGAGGATGTCCTTTTTTTTGGTTTTAAGGTCAAAAGTCATTCAAATACAACAAAGCTCATATGTGATCCAGAACTTTTCATTCCATGTTTATATCAATTTATCCTGAAATCAACCTTTATAGTATACAAATACATGTTAAGAGATAACACAAAGCGATATACCTATAGTATACCTATTTTGTCACTTAAGGTATCCTGATTTGGTTGCATGTGAATGATTATAATCAAATGAATGTTAACATCACAGTTCAATTTGGGGCCTTCATCTCAGTCCCTATTTAAGTCATGTCAATTTCATAAAAAGCAAATTCAACTTTTAGGAAGTAAAAAACTAACATTCAAGCATAAATGTTAAGTCCAAGGGCTATAGTTAGATCAATAGTAAGTGAAAAGGTTTCTTTGTCTTTGAACTTCACTTTCTTATAATCATACAATATCATAGGGTCCATCAAGGTTTTCTGTTTCTGTTTTGTTTCTACACCCACCCAATCTTTAATACCTTATAATAAATGAAACCTTGCTCCTTTATGTCCATGATTTGTTAAGTAAATGTCAGTGACCTAGACTATTCAGTCACTTAGGCCCCAATATGATCAAATAAAATTGCCATAAAATGCTGTTAGATAACATTCCAGAATAATGATAAAGATATATTTGCAAAATTGTACCCTAAATTATTCTTTACAGATTCCAATCATAATTTTTATGAACAGAAATCAGTCAATTTGTGTACTGATTTTTATGCTAGAACTATTTATTTTGATAATGTTCAAATAATAAAATGTTTCACTAATAGGAAATTACATCCTTGAATAAATAATAACATTAAAAATGAAATTAATAACCATTACATTACTGAGGGAAGGAATGCCCTTTATCGTCGAGCGTCAAACGTCCGTTTTTAGCTACCGTTAGCATCAAATGAGCCTGAATATCTTATGGTCATTCGTCAAATTTCATTTTGGAGCTACCGTTTTCAAATGGAGTAAAATGTTTATCGTTAACTAAGTTATTTTAACAAATATTTTACCCTCATTCATCATGTGGGGTACCCCATTCCTATCCTCATTACTATAACAGTCCGTCTCCTTTTATTATATTGCACTATTAAAAAGTATGATGATTTAAAATGCAGCTCCACATCATGAATGTTTAATTTTGTATAATATCTATTATGTCATAAAGTGAAGACCACCAATACACTTCTAAGACCAACACAAAAACAGCCACTCTCCATAAATTATATCATACAATCTGTTAGCTGAGTAAAAGCAAGAATTTCTTCTCTCATTTTTTCATTGTGTCTGACTTTTCTTTCCATAAAGGTTAGTAATATGACAAATTGTGCTATTTGATTAAGCACTAGGAATTGGGTACAGGTATAATTTCCTCACCACAAAAATGACATTTCAAACATTAGACTTCAGAAAATTTACTTCACAAAACCACAATCAACCATTATTCTTTTAATCTGTTGATTTTAACAAGGAAAAGATATGTGCAAGTGGGGAAAATTTTAATTTCACTTTTTTTCTTCTCCTTACCTAATTTAAGAGGAGTAAAAAGTTAAAATATTATACAGGTATACAGGACTTTGATTTTCAAAATAACATATTTTATTCAGTTGTAAAAAGTTTTTTTTACTGAATTACTGGAGCAAGATATAGTTTCTTTCAATGTGAGCCATGTGTACAGAGAGTGCCTCATATAAAGAGAAATGCAAAATTTCTGTCCCTATCCAATATACACTCATTTTCTGGTGGCAGTCAAAATTCCCCTGACCTTTATCATGGGCAGCCTCTTTAACAGGACCTACCTATTGTATCTATTGTTAATTAATGATATTGTCCTGAACATGCATGTAATATTTGCCACTGGACATTCAGCAATATTGCTTTATGGTTCAAATATTAACATCACTGGCCATTAAAAATTGCAACTTTTTTTATATCTGTTTTTAAATCTAAAAAAATTAATTTCTTCGCTGAGCGCAGCTGGATACGACCGCAGAGGTCCGACACCGAACAGTTGGGGCAAAAACGGACACAATATTCGTGCTTGATACAGGTCTGAATTCGGATTGAAATTAAATGTTTGACACATAATAGGTTTCTGACACAGAATAACTGTAGTCAAAGAACTTAGAATTGGTTAAATGATTTGAATTTATATTCAATTTTTTGCTTTTGTGCAATACACTATGCTGTTGCGAATTGACCCCCCCCCCCTCCCCCCCACAAAAAAAAATAAAAAATTCCCCCCCCCCCTTTTTTTTTGCTTTTGTGCAATACACTATGCTGTTGAACAGCGTGTTACCCCCCCCACATACTTTTTTTTTTTGCAAAAAAAATAATATTTGAAGAATTTTTCTTTTTAATTTCTGAATTCTGAAATGAGAAAAAAATCCCCCCAAAAAATTCTTTCCCTCAAGATAAGGTCATAATCTCAATTCAAATTTCCAATGGAGTTTGCAACCATAATTACTAATTTAAATACATCATAAAAGGCTTTGGGTGGAGTGGGGGGGGGGGGGGGGGGGGGGGCTGGGGAGGGGTTATGGCTCAAACTGTTTATGGACAATTTAAAAGCAGTGTAAGGGAGGAAATCCAACATTGTACAATTTTGTTTTTGGATTACCTCCCTTACACTGCTTTTAATTTGTCTATTAACCAGGAAACCCTTGTTTTTTCCCCTTTTTTTGTCCCTTAATCCTACAGTTTCAGCCATAAGCCCCCCCCCCCCCCCCCCCCACCAAAGCCAATCCTAACCATCCCTTTGTGGTATGGAAACTTGTGGTAAAATTTCAGAGAGATCCATACACTTAAACTAAAGTTATTTTGCGAAAACCAATGTGTCTTTGGACGTCAACGAGAATGACGACGCCAACGTTTTTTGCGGTTGTATAAAAATCAAGTGAAAACAAAATACTGAAATATGTAATTCATTTTGTACCACATAGACATATAATTCTGGCTTCTTTAGTGTTGAAAGGTGAACTGCCTGACAGTACTCTCTAGATAGAATTTCTAAGTCACTCAGAAATATTTTTTTTTATATAAATGGTACTGATATAGTGCAGACTACTACAAGAAAATCAAAAATCAAATTCCTTTTTCTTCTCTGTGTGAAAATTCTATCTCACTTATTGCTACCATTACAGTTTATCAAATACTTTCTTGTAAACAAAAAATTAACTATAAGTTTTGTAACTAACATCAATTTATAAAAAAAAATATGAACTGTAATGTATAGTACACCACCTATTTAAATGAGTCAAGAAATATTTAGATTCAATTTAAATTCAAACAATGGAGTACATTGGAAACTAATACTCTACGTTTCTATCTTTGGAATCATAGAATTACAATCAGTACACTAGAAAATTATTTTTAGTCACATTTTGCCTGATTAAAGCCCATTACGATTGTAGAGATATCTTTATAAATCTTAGTTATTTGTTAAGAAGATAATATTTCAGCCTAAAATTAAAAAAAAAAGTAGAGACACAATTCTGTAAATGACTATCTAATTTCTCAGGGTTTTTTCTGCAATTTTGACACTTAGCATTAAAACAACTTAATATATGTTGTAAATATCATGCATTTTCTTCTTTCAAACTATGAATGTCTACAGTAAGTTAACAGATCATTTTATGACATTTCTGTTTAAAATGACAATTCAATAGTATAAAATTTCAGTTTAATGTCTTTGGAAACATGGTGGTCTTTCCTAAGGATTCTTTTACCCATGAAATAAAAACCAGGAGAACCTTAAGACCACTGATACATATTACTTTAGAATCCTGACAAGAAAGCCTCTAAATGTACAACCCTGATCCTCTGTTAACCATGTTATTATCTCAAATATCACTCAAATAAATACCAAAAATCTAAATCAAAAAATCTATATAATATACAAGAGATAAGTCTGCAACACTATGTCAACAATAGTATTAATATGTCTCTGCTAGGTATTTGTGATAATGCATTTTTTTTGGGGAATAAATAGAGAAGGAAGCTTAATACATCTTTCACAATAACTGTAGTTTGTAAAATTATTTTATTTACAGTCTGACTATGTTAGATGAACTTGTTTGAAAAATTATTTTAGATCAAGACTAGACTTTTCTGGATAAACTAGTTTGTAAAATTATTTTAGGTGCATACAATGGAGTACATTGGAAACTAATACTCTACGTTTCTATCTTTGGAATCATAGAATTACAATCAGTACACTAGAAAATTATTTTTAGTCACATTTTGCCTGATTAAAGCCCATTACGATTGTAGAGATATCTTTATAAATCTTAGTTATTTGTTAAGAAGATAATATTTCAGCCTAAAATAAAAAAAAAAAAAGTAGAGACACAATTCTGTAAATGACTATCTAATTTCTCAGGGTTCTTTCTGCAATTTTGACACTTAGCATTAAAACAATGTTGGATTTGTTGGATAAACTAGTATGTAATATTATTTAAGGTACCAACCGACTTTGTTGGAGAAACTAGTTTGTAACAGTACTATAGTATAAATTACTGTGTAAACTTTTTGTTGTTGTAATCATACCATTAAGCTGGGTTTCAATGTGACAACTACTTATTTCTTTCTCATTACAATGTTACAACACCTTAAGATGAAAATCTAAAAGCAAATTAAAAACAAACAAACACTTGTGTTTTTGACACATTGAATTCTTCTACTGCCTGGCAACCAAAT